TCGTTTCAACGGATTTTTCGTTTCAACGGATTTAGGTGGCCAGTCCCATAGATCCGTTGAAACGAGGTTTGACTGTACTGTATGCTTAAAAATCACGTTCCATAAAAGGAATGATTTTCGTAGAAAAATTTTCACGGGTTGGCGCAGCATTTGATGTATTTAAATGATTGGCACCATAACATTGTTATTATTTATTATTTATTACTAACAGCGATATCATTATTATCATTATCATTATTGTTATTACTATTACTATTATTGTTACTATCATTATTATCATTATCATTATCATTATTACTATTACTATTATTGTTACTATCATGACTATCATTAATATCATTAACATTATCATTATTACTATTACTATCATGACTATCATTAATATCATTAACATTATTATTGCTGTCATCATTACTATATTTATTTTTATTTGTATATCTGCTTGTATTTCTGTTTGGACTATACCTATTTCTTTTATTTTTATTGGTTGTAATATTTATATCGCTTTTTCTCTTTTTATTCTTAAAATATGCTTGTTTGTTAACAAAGTATCTCAATTCCTCTGAACCTATTAAAAAAAAGAAAAGAATATAAAAGTTGATTTAGCATCCCCTTTCTAATATATATGCATATAATCATATGAAATTATTATACATACCATCTAATACTTTGAGAGTAAGTTTATCACCACCTAAGGTAAAATTATCTTGCAACATAGATTTAACAATAGCATCAGCCCCAGATTCCATAAGTTCTATAATTCCTGAAGGTTCTTTTTCTTTATATTGCACATATGATACTTTAGCATATTTTTGTTCAACAAGTCCCTATTATAATTAATTAATTAATAACAATGATGATAACAACAACAACAATAATAGTAATAATTATAATTATAATTATTACTATTATTATTATTATTAAGAAAGCTTACTTTAATTGAAAAACAATCAATATTTTCTCCTGCACTTGAAAATTGTATTAAACTATTATTTTTAATTTTTAGGTTTTTTCTGTTATTCTCATTCTGTGGTTTGCGCATTGTGTTAGGATCAAGTCCTTTTTCGACACATTTCATTTCACAATAATCAAATCTATTAGCAATAAAATATTAGTATTATTTAAATTAATTAATTGGCGTAAATTAGGGATTGTTTTGATAAACTCACTTCATCATCATTAGAAGTTTTGTATCATGAAAAGTCAACTCCATTCCTTTAACTTTTTCTGCCTCTTCATGATTTGTAAATTCAATAAAGAATGATCCCTAATAATAATAATAATAATAATAATAATAATAATAATAATAATATTTATATATGTATGTCTATTTACACACTATATGTGACATAAATCTATTATTATTATACCTTAAAATTTCCAGTATTATCCCTTCTGGCAAAGACCTTTTGGGCATTGCCATATTGAGAAAAGAAGCTTTTAACCTCTTTTTCAAGTGACGGAATTAATGTATCACCAAATCCTTTCTAAAATAATAAGTCAAAGGAACAAATGAATATAACAGTTTAAAACAAATGCGAATGAAAATATCTAAATAATATAATATATATAATAATCATATAAAATTTACTGCATATATAGTCCTCCAAATAGCTGATTGCTTAACATGGATAGGTACTTCCATTAAAAGTGGGAGTTTTCTTCTAACATGTTCACCTGCTTCATCCACTTCTAATAATTCTGGTGATTCACGTAATGCTTCAACGATTAATTCAAGGTCCTTATATACTTGCATTTTCTTAAAAGTACGAATAATGTTAAGTGAACACCCTAAATGAACATGGACATGAATGAGAATACATATATGTTAAAAAAATTATAACAAGAATAAATACTAACATCCATTTGGATCTTTGTTTCGCAACTCATTCAAGAAAGTATCACGTCCAAGATTCTCATCTCCAAAATAATATTCAACTTGAGTTAAAATAACTTCTTTAGCTTTAATTTGTTCCGGTGTACGTTTTTTGTTAGTTGTGGCAGTAACGGTAGCATTGGTAACAGAAGTATTAGAAGTATTAGAAGTATTAGAAGTATTAGGAGTATTAGGAGTATTAGAAGTATTAGAAGTGATGGCTTCAATATTATTAGAAGAGTCTGTTTTATCGACTGTATTCATGATTGGATAAAAATGATGAATCAAATCCGTTAGATAAATTAATTTTCAAAGTATATTATAAAAAAAATAAAGATACACAGATCTATTCCATTTATATATAGAATCGCAAAAAAAATTTTTTAATAATAAAGCAGCAGTTTTGTTAATTTGATTTCTTCATCAGAATACATTACATGAAATATCGTTTTATTTATTAAATCTAAAAATAATAAAACAAATAAAATAAAATGTTCATAGTTTTACTATTAATTATGAAGTGATTGAATTTATACGCAAGATTTATTTCTTATTTTTTTTTTTAGCCTTTTTCTTTTCAGCCTCATCCATTCTTAATAATTCTTCTTCAGCTTTTTTACGTTCTTTTTCTGTTCTTAATTTTTCTCTTTTCTCTTTTTCCTCGATTTCAATTTTTTCTCGCTCCTCCCTTTTTTTATATAATTTTTCTTCTTTCTCTTTTAATTCTTTCATTTTCTCAGGAATTTCTTTGTGTTTTTGATGATGGATCATTTCATTTGCTGTCTGAAATATTGTTTGTCCCCAATCATCTTTAAAAGTGTTGGCCTCAGCTGATACTTCCATAATTTCAGTTTGTATTTCTTGTTCAGCCTTCACAAATGAATTCCATAACTCATCACCCACTGCACCTTTTTGTACCAGAGTTAAAAGTGCAGGCTTATCTTCTCTCAGTTTTTTTACTCTTTCAACATCAGTCATCGCTCGACGTAATAAAGCAGCTTTTAGTTGTAGTTCCGTTGCTGGTGGAGAAGTTTGTTCTAATAATGATATATAAATGTCTCTTGTAGAATGTTCAGGAAACCAAGGCTCATAACCTGTTCTATCTAGTTTAATTATATTATTTAGAATTTTTATATTATTTATTAATTTCATTATTTTGTAATTTAAAAATGTATGTTTTCGATTCCAAATATTACACTACCAGCTTTTCGCCTTCGCCATATATATGAAAATGTACTCATCACCACCAGCATCCCTCCTACATATGTGACTGTTATAATCCATGATGACATTTTATGCTATTGTGAAACAGAAAACGAGCGATTTATTATGATATTCAACAAGAAATTTTCAATTTATTTCAAAAAAAAAAAATAATATTTGATCTCATATAAGGAAGGACTGAAAAGTTCATAGTAATAAATAAGGGCTGTGTGATTTGATGGCTGACTAGGGACAATCTTTCCAAATTTGATATCTTTATGGTTTACAGGGTCCTGTTCATACAAGGAGTATTTAAATTTTATCACGCGTACAGTGTGTAACCATAATAAGCCCAGGAAAACTCTATTGTCCAGACCCCAAATGACAAATCATATTAATGCGAATCTTAGCTTTTTATAATTATGCGAATCGATTTTCCGAACACATTTTAAAATTATGAAATTATCTTTATTGATTAAAAATATTTAATTTGTGTACTTGATTGACTAAAATGATTATAAATTAAAAATGTATCATCATCTACTGCAATCAAACAAGGATTAATATTAGAATAAGAACGTATTCCCAAAAAATAAACTACTTCTCGTGG